GCGGCACTGCTGCTTTACCACATCCAGCCGCCATGTGATCAAAAGCGCCGCACAGGCGACACATCTTGCGTTGTCCCGCGTAGGTCACATACAGCTGTGTCCTAAAATCCTCCAGGACAACATACGATGGAATAGGTCTTAAAGACATCTTGACGGTGTAAGATCCAGCCGGCAACCCTTCATAGATTCCCTCCGTCCATCGAACTAAAGTTATAGCATGCACCTCACCATATCTTTGAAATGTCTCTCTGATATCCACATCGTCTGCCTCGAAAGGAACGTTGCGGATCCTCACCCAGGTGTAGTATTTTGAGGCATCCCGCAGGCGTACCTCCAGACCAGATGATACTGTGATGTTCTCCTGGTACTGAGTCACCGTCCTTTCATATGCCTCCACTGTGCAGAACTTTATGAAGATTCGTGATGAACCATTAAGTGCTATTCCATGTAATTCTTCAACTTCAATGTCCAAACGTGTCCCATATAATCGTTGGTAATAAAACAGAGGCATTCGTAGGGTAAATTGCCCCTTTAACAAGGTCAACACACACGGTGTTGCTCCTCCTGCGGTAGCTGGCAGCCATCTTGGTGAAAACAGGAAGTTGCGCACCAGAGAAAGCAGGAGCTGTTTGCGCAGTGCGTCCACTCAGCCCGAAAGCGAAGAGGACAATATTACTGTATGTTAATGTGACTTGAACCTTGATATTTGAAACGCCCTGGACACGAGCTCAAAGACACTCGTTTGCCACATATTCGTAATTCTAATGAACAATGTCCATGGACTCGTGTTGAAAACCGTCTCCTTGATGTTGGGCTTATGTATTTGACGTCTCTTGTGGGTTTAGTGCTTAGTTTTGATCAAGGCCGGATTTAGACCTGGGGGGGGGGGCCCGGGGCACTTTAGGTTTAGGGGCCCTCCACATGAAAATTAAATTGAATTACAAATAAGAAATGAACTAAAATGAATGATAAACAGTTTTCGAAAAAAAAAAGTTAGGTTTCGAAGAAGACGTCTGATTTTACTTTTCTCAATTTTATTGACTTTAAGAGTAACTGACTATAATTTTCAGTTTGTAATATATTCCATCTACGATGTGTATTTATTTATATCTTTGGTGTCACACTTTGTCTGTCTATATGGTGGCAGTTGACCAAAAGGACACAAACTTGTCTCTGACAGGAAACCACATGGCTGGGTCTGAATCACATAGTGGCGCTTCACTGTCCATGTCTACACATGGTTTTCTCTGACAGGAAACCACATGGCTGGGTCTGAATCACATAGTGGCGCTTCACTGTCCATGTCTACACATGGTTTTCTCTGACAGGAAACCACATGGGTGACTGTGGTCCTGGAAATCAAAAACATAGTGGCGCTTCACTGTCCATGTCTACACATGGTTTTCTCTGACAGGAAACCACATGGCTGGATCTGAATCACATAGTGGCGCTTCACTGTCCATGTCTACACAAGTATCTGTAGAATGTGGTTGTGGTGATTCATCACCTTTACTATCTTGGTTTGGGATGTTCTTTTTTATCTTATGCAGATGTACTTGAGAATGTGGGTGAATCCTCAGAAGAAACATCATCTGGTAGTGGTACTGGTTCTTCATTAGTAGCTTCTAAGTTTTCTACTACGGAAAGCAGAGAAAAATTTTGTGAGGCATTTTGTCTTTGCCAAGACTAGCATTTCTTTTGCTTGATTCTTTGGAAATCTCTCTCTCTTTTTTTAAGCTTCAACAACTGAATTTTCCGTGGCATACTTGGTCTTCAGAAGAAACAAATATTCAGTTTTTTTTCTTATATTTAATGATAATGTAGTTAATGACACACACACAGTGTGTGTGTGGGGAGGGGAGGGGGGATGTGTAAGATGTAACTGCAAAACGATGATATATCGCAAAACTTTGTGAGCAGAACATAGATCTAAAACACGGACACCACTGCCCCACACCATTGCCTAGCACTAAAACAGTCAACGAACACAGACACACACACAGTCCCAGGCCACCAACTGACTCGTTGGTCATTAACTATGACACTAACACTAACCAGAAATAGCCCTTCTGAGGTCGACATAGCCAATCAAAGCCATACACACAATAGGTTCTCTCTCTCTCTCTCTCTCTCTCTCTCTCTCTCTCTCTCACCACTCACCCTACACTCTGCGTCAACGTGCGTGCGTGCACGCACCCTGGTCACCTCTGACCTCATGGTCTGCTCATTTACCTCAAAACTGACACTAACCAGAAATAGTTAAGTCAATTTACTGGAAGAGAGAGGAGGTGGGGGCACCCTTTCTTTCTATTTTCTGATCCCCACACACACTTTATTTGTTAATTCCTTTTATTAATTAAACTAATTTTTTTATTACATTTTGTTATAAAGGAAGTCCTTCGTCTGGGGTCCCCTCTGGCAGGGGGGGCCCGGGGCAGTTGCCCCCTTATAAATCCGGCCCTGCATTCACGACACTGTACAACGTGTACGTCAGGCCCATATTGGAATATGCAGCACTGGTATGGAACCCACACCTGGTTAAACACGTTAAGAAATTAGAGAAAGTGCAGAGATTTGCAACAAGCTTAGTCCCGGTGCCGAGGGATTTGTCGTACGAGGAGCGAGAAAGGAAACTCGACCTGAAAACACTGGAGGACACGAGGGATAGGAGGGACATGATATCACCATATACGGTACTGAGGGAAACTGACAAGATGAATAGGGACAGAATGTTTCAGAGATGGGACACAACAACAAAGGGGTCACAACTGGAAGTTGAAAATTCAGATGAGTCACAGGGATGTTGACAAGTATTTCTTCGGCCACAGAGTTGTCAGGGCGCGGAACAGTCTGGAGAGATGTAGTGGAGGCAGGACCCATATATAGCTTCAAGAAGAAGTATGATAAAGTTCATGGAGCAGGGAGAGAGTGGACCTAGTAGCGACCAGCAAAGAGGCAGGGTCCGGAGCTTTGAATCGACCCCTGCAACCACAAATAGGTAAGCACATACACAGAACAGAGGTATCCATGTTCACAGACGACATGAAACTAATGAGAATACAAGCGGACGAGGACCAGAAAAGGCTACAAATGGATCTGGACAGACTACAAGCCTGGTCTGATAAATGGCTTCTGGAATTTAATCCCGCCAAGTGTAAAGTTATGAAGCTTGTGGAAGGACAAAGAAGACCACAGACAGAGTACAGGCTCGGGGACCAAACCCTGCAAACCTCACTCGACTAGGGACCCTGGGGTATCATACCGAGCACATACCATTAGGCGCACATCAGCCAAATAACTACTGCACTATATGCACGTCTGGCAAACGTCCGGCCTATATTGGAGTATTTAGCACAAGTATGGAAGCCATACCTGGTCAAGCACAACGAGAAATAGGACACAGTGCAGAGGTTTGCACCAAAACTATTCCCGGAGGTAAGTGGTATGTCCTATGAGAAGTTAAGGGAACTCAGACCGATGGCACTAGAGGACAGTAAAACTAGGGGGGATATTATAACGTGCAAAATACTGAGAGAAATTGACAAGGTAAATAGGGACAATGTTTCAGAGATGTGACAGAAATACAAGGGTACAACTAGAAATTATTAACTGAGATGAGTCATAGGGATGTTAGGAAGTATTTCTTCAGCCTTAGTTGTCAGGAAATGAAACAATCTGGAGAGTAAAGTGGTAGAGGCAGGATCCATACATAGTTTTAGGAAGAGATACGATAAGGCTCTTGGAGCCGGAAGAGTGTGGACCTATTATCGACCAGCGAAGAGGTGGGACCAGGAGCTATGAATCGACCCTTGAAACCACATAGATGAGTGTACACACACACACACACACGAGAGATGAGATATACTATGATATACCTAGAAATACCAAGACACACCAGATATAATCTATAAATAGTTCTATAGCTTTCAAGAGTGTGTAGTGTAAAAGCTTAGAGCTTTCAGTCTCTCCCTGTATGAGTCCTATACAGTGGGTTAATTTTGTCATTCTCTGTATGTTCTCCAATTCATTTATATAGTATGTGGACAAGTGAGTTGCATAATCTAAGCGAGATCTTACTAATGATGTATGGAACTGTAATATAACATCTGGACTCCTGTTACTTATACTCCTTCAGCATGTCGGACAGTTGGCCCATGTCGGTAATAATGTCGTCTGGTGTTTACATAGCCTTGGAGAGATCTAGCTCTAGACTCATCAAGACCGATTTTGGGCTATCAGTGATGGTGGGAGGGTGACTTCATAATTTTTGTTTTGATGGTGCTTTCTGTCATGTATGGCGATGATTAGTTTGATGTCAGTATAGCTGAAGCAGTAAAAAAATTAACGAGTCCTTAATACACAAAAGACCGCACATAAAAGAGAGAAGCTTACGACGACGTTTCGGTCCGACTTGGACCATTGACAAAGTCACACTGTGCGGGTTTTTTGTGTATCGTTCCAGTCACGGTATTGTGCCTTTTTTGTTATTTGAGTCCTTAATAGCCTGTATGACAATGAATTTGACATTTTGTTAACCGACGGTTTGTCTCTTCGTGTGTGTTCTTTCCATTGGTTTGATTCTTACCCTGTGAGCTTGCATAGTGCTGCATTCCGCATCCCATCCAGGCTTCGAGGACTGACCTCACGTCATCACTTGAAATGCGAGGTACGAGGAATTGCTAGATCTAATCAACTAAAATGTGAGATGCAATCCAGCCACTCAATAACCTGTCTAATCGTAAGTAGTCTGTAAGCATTATAATTAGTCTGCCCGAAAGGCACATGCATGCTAGTGGCTTTCTTTGTACTTAGCATTTTATTACATGTAAAACTACACTGTAGACTACACAAAGAAATAAAATTTGTTTGTTTGGTTAAGTGGGTCCCCTCCCAACGGGGATCGTAGGGAGAGCGCGAAGAGAAGCCAATTATGAATTTTAGTATCAGAAATAGGATGGTCACTGGTATCACTAGGCATAACTAAAATGTACTCAAGAGGGGGGGGGGATATCTTGATGTCGGGAAGGACTCTTATAAATAATATTAGCTATTTTCCTTAGATTTAAGGAAACCTGTATGATCCATGGGAATTTAACACTTTAAATAAAAACAACCCTAATACGTATAATTCTAGAATATTTGCTAACTACCCAGGTTAGACACAAGAGTATATCGCTGGATGTCTTTCTTTAGCTACAGTTATGCTGTATAATTTGAGTGCTAGCACTTTGTGGCAGTGGTTTGGTGTGTGAGTTACAACCACAGGAAAACAGTGGCACCAAGGAGGGGGGCGCTTGCCACTTGGCCTGACACCTCAGTTGTAACTACGACTAGTGTGGGTTCATCCCACTATTCTCACTCCTCGCTCTAAAACACTCATACCCAAAGGAAAATAATATTTGTGAGCTATTTAAAGTGACCATTGTTTTCGCTTTTCCACATGCGGCTGCATCTTCTCATAGTTATCTGAAAATAAGATATACATCGCCAATTAGCCATTGTGAAGGTAAAATGTTTTGCAGTTTGTATTTGCAGTAAGAGTTAACTAAAAGTGAGTCAGTGAGGGAGAAACAAAAATATGGTAGATATCAGTATGGTCACCGGAGGAGTGCTAAACCCATAATCTCCTTACAGTGCTTGTAATCAATTTGATCAGAAGATAGCTTACATTCCTTGACTCAAGAGCACTTCAGCATCAAGGCCCCCCTCCCTTGAAGGGGTGGTGGACGACACAAGTCTTGTCACACACTGCTGAGCTTCGTCCAAGGTCCTCACACCACCAAAAATATCGACGACTTCATAAAGTTGGTGCCAGCGAGGAGATTCTTGCTTTGGTGATGTAACCGAAGCTTCCGTTTTCTGAAAGCCTGGTAGTAATGTAAACATAATTAGTTCTTAACCTTGTAAAATGTGATATAGGTCAGGGTAGCCGCAACATGTGGTGTTTATCTGGAGAGAGTTCCGGGGGTCAACGCCCCGCGGCCCGGTCTGTGACCAGGCCTCCTTAGGTCAGTGTCCCAGGATGCGACCCACACCAGTCGACTAACACCCAGGTACCCATTTTACTGATGGGGAACATAGACAACAGGTGGAAAGAAACACGTCCAATGTTTCTACTCTGGCTGGGAATCGAACCCAGGCCCTCACCGTGTGAAGAGAGAGCGTTAACCACCAGGCCACCGAAGATGACCCAAGAAAGCCAGCAATGTGGCTTATTTTCTTTGAGGTCCTTATTTCTTCCCTTCATGCGACCCACAAGAGCTGAAAAACTTCTGGGTTTCTATTTACTATTAGGTGAACACTCGTAGCAAGTGTAAGATATGCTCCGGGATTGAGCAATGAAAATGTGATATTAATTATTTTGAATGAGGAAGAAAGCCAGCGATTACGTAATCACCAATAGAAAACTTAGGATGATTAACTCGGCAGAATTGGCAACTAATTCAGTGTGTGGCTTATGTTCGCTGAGATTCTTTGGTCCTCTTTCCTAGCGTGCGACCCACGACAGTCGGCTAACTCACAGATACTTATTACGCTAAGTGAGCAAGGACAGGTGTAAGGAAACACGCCCACGTGTCCACCCGTCCTCGGATTGAACCCCAGGCCTTCGGTTGCGAGTCGAAGGCACAACCACTGGCAAGCCAGTAATTGCCTAATCACTAATGATACTTAGCCCTTCCAAGTCTACGGTTGCTTAATCACCAGTGATACCCTGCACCAGTGAACCAGCCGCTTTAATCAGTGAATGGGTCATGTAGTAAAAACCTGTGTCAGGTGACACTTTCCTGTTTTCCGACTAAAGGGCCCTAAGATCTGGAATTCATTGCCTGAACATACAAAAGGGCCCCTAACTGCACACCAATTCAAGGCTCTGCTTAGAAATCACCTCACCTCCCAAAATTAACCACACAAACACTATATCATCGCTACTAGCAACTCAAAAATTCCTAAATATTTTAAGATTATTTCAAAATTAAAATGGTTCCAGTCTCATTATGTAAAATGTGCCAAAATATAATACCGTAACCTGTTAATCAATTCATCTCGATTATAAATTAGTTACTGCTAAACCACTAACTGGATGGAAATAAATGGTATAAAATACCTACACAATGGAAATATAAACACATATGCAGTATAATGTGATCCTTTATTGACTACGTTTCGCCCACACAGTGGGCTTTTTCAAGTCAAACAGAACTGTTCTGTTTGTGACTTGAAAAAGCCCACTGTGTGGGCGAAACGTAGTCAATAAAAGATCACATTATACTGCATATGTGTTTATATAAACCACTAACTACCCCTGTTGAAATACAGAAAACTGTGTTCAGTTCGAACCAACTATGGTATATATGCCTAGTATTAAGTAGGTTGTTAAGCATTAGGTTTAGTCTGCCCGAAATGTCCCGGCATGATAGTGACTTTGTTTTGTACTTAGCAAATCAAAATTGTAATTACACATCGTAAACTATGCAAAGAAATAAAATCCCTAACTAAACACAATCGTGATAAAAATATTATAAAGCGGCAGAAACAAAATTTTATTTTTTTGTGAAGCAGTAATCCCTGTGTAAGCCATTCAGTGCAAAGAATGGTGAAAGCTCCAGCCTCTGTCCGCTAATCGCCAAACTACCCAACAGTGTTCACAGAGCACTTATGAACATCTGAAGAATGTTGAAAATGTTGGTGTGGTAATTAAAAGTAGGTTGTGTGGTAGTGAACAGAGCCTGGCTCCTAGCTTCCTTAAATAACCTATATATATAGGGTCTCAGGTGTTAAGTAAGAACACCAGGAGCTGAGTCTCGATCCCCCACAAATACAACTCGGCGAGTACCCACACGTTGTTTTTTATTTTAGGGGAGAAAATACTGAAATGACTTAAAAGATAATGTAGCAAGTGTTACTGTCACTGGGAAGGAAATAAAATATGAATTACCGAGGGGAATGGGAGGTAATTAAGTGTAATCCAAGGAAGGGGAAGATAACTCCAGTTTCTGAATCAAGAGCCCTCCACCAGCATCAAAGCACTTCTTTTGAATGATAACAATGCCATTTAAATGAGAATAGTCACATTTGTGATAGCCTGCCTAAAACATTTAGTTCATGGACTATATATACACGAGAGATGTTCGTATCTCAGTGTATTAAAATTTACCAGCGGGAAATAATAATAATAAACACCCGAGCGATTTCGTGTGTTTACACATCTTCGAAATTCCTACTAGCTGTTGCCCCTATTCACCCAGCACTCAGTAGGTACCTGGGTGTTAGCCGACTGGTGTGGGTCGCATCATGGGGGAGAGATTAAAGGACCTCGATGATGACACGGTTTGCTTGCATTATCCTAGGTTACATACTCGTAGAGTTGAAAATATGAGCAAAATCTTCAACTACAAATATTAAATGCTTTAACGCCGGTAACCATTTTTTTTAAACTGGTATTTTGTCAGGGAACATACGCTGAAAGATTACTTTAATCTTTGCTGCAGATTTCAGAAGATTACCTCCCTGTTTGTTCAGCATCTAATGAATTTATAGGTGAGGTGTGAGTTTGTGTTTACCATTAAATATCTACAGAAACATCTTCCCTTCTAACACACATCCATAAACACTTCTGGTGTATTTACAGGTGACCAGACTGCTATTGCTCACACCTCGCTCCCCTCCATACTGTAAACACTTGGTATCGTCAAACTGTTTCTCAACATCACACAGCTAGCAATAATGGTACAATTACCGATAAAATGGATGGCTTGACAAAGCTCCTGGAGAGCGAAGCGTTGCTACAATAAAATGTCATATTAGTCGCAGCTGTGTTCTTTTACCTAACATTACACAGCTACACTAGTTTCAAGGGCTACCGCGCCAAGTATCACCTCAACAGGTATCACCACTACTAGTATCAGTACTTTCAGTACTACCACTACAAGCATCACCACAACGAATATCACGTCTTAATGCTACAGGTCCTGGGTTCGAATCTCGACCGAGACGAGATATATGGCCAAAGCTCTCTACACATACACTAAATACACATCTAGGACCTGGTCGAATGTTAGGGGTTACATCCCCGGGAGGGGAAAAAAAAGGCAACCTATCCTCGTAAATTCTGTGTATCTCATATGGTTTGCAGCAAATTTATCGAGTTGTTATTTAGGTTAGATTCTGTCCACTATTAGTCACAGAACTCCAACAGAAATATGTCACACTGTTTGCTGTTTTGTATTACGCTGCATTAATACCGGGATAGGCTTGAACCACACGGCTAAAGACAATGAAGTTGAATACAACTCTAGGCTGAGAGAATGACTACCTCAAAGTTGACGGATTGACATCATCTTTACCTCTCCACTCTTAGCGGCTGTCTCCATATTTGCAGCCTTTGTACTCGACTGATAAAGCCTGCTGTGTAGGCGTAATGTATCGGAACAAAGATACCTAACTGTTGCATAGGTGTCTTACTTGTGATGGATATGTGGGCCAGCGGGCAGCCAGCAGCAACAACCTAGTTGACCAAGACAAACACCGGACAAACCTGGCCTTGGGCCGGGCTGCGAGAGTAGGAAAGCTCTAGTAAAGTGTTGCAACTATGACAGTATAGTGTGTGTGTGTGTGTGTGTGTGTGTGTGCATACCAGGGCCTCGTGGTGCACTTGACACGGGTTCCCTCTGTGTATATTTAGTGTGTGTGGGGGTGCGTGTGTGTGTGTGAGCGCGCGTGTGTGTGTGTGAGAGCGCGTGTGCGTGTGTGAGCGCGCGTGTGCGTGTGTGTGTGTGTGTGTGTGTGTGTGTGCGCGTGTGTGTGTGTGTGTGTGTGTGTGTACTCACCTAATTGTGGTTGCAGGGGTCGAGACTCAGCTCCTGGCCCCGCCTCTTCACTGATGTGTGTGTGTGCGCGCGTGTGTGTGCGTGTGTGTGTGTGCGTGTGTGTGTGCGTGTGTGTGTGTGTGTGCGTGTGTGCGTGTGTGCGCGCGCGCGTGTGTGTGTGTGTGTGTGTGCATACCGGGCTCGTGGTGATTGCACGGGTTCCCTCTGTGTATATTTAGTGTGTGTGTGGGGTGCGTGTGTGTGTGTGAGCGCGCGTGTGTGTGTGAGCGCGCGTGTGTGTGTGTGTGGTGTGTGCGTTGTGTGCGCGTGTGTGCGTGTGTGCGTGTGTGCGTGTGTGCGTGTGTGTGCGTGTGTGGTGTGTGCGTGTGTGTGTGTGGGTGTGTGTGTGTGCGTGGTGTGTGTTGTGTGTGTGTGTGTGTGTGTGTGTGGTGTGTGCGTGTGTGCGTGTGTGTGCGTGTGTGGTGTGTGTGTGTGTGTGTGTGCGCGTGTGTGTGTGTGTGTGCGTGTGTGCGTGTGTGTGTGTGTGTGTGTGTGTGTGTGTGTGTGTGTGTGTGCGTGTGTGCGTGTGTGTGTGTGTGTGTGGTGTGTGTTTTGTGTGTGCGCGTGTGTGTGTGCGTGTGTGCGTGTGTGTGTGTGTGTGTGTGTGTGTGTGTGTGTGTGTGTGTGTGTGTGTGGTGCG